ATAATTTGTATTTGGGCAAGCAGCGATATATATGCTTCGGACTGTTGCTAACTATCATGGTTTGTTAGCTAGGGATACATTCTGTACCCTTCAGCGAAGTTTTGTAACATGAGACATGTATTTTGAATACAATGCTGCTGGCGTAATTGTGAGTAAGAGGCGAATCAATTTTTAGGTATCATATTTCTCGATGCCCCGCTCACATACATATAAAATTTGTGAGATTGTGATATTTGAATAGTAATAGTTATGATGGCGGCAGCGAGCACACGGAGTATAACCATATAAACACATTTTACATGATTCATGTCGGTTATAGTCTCGAAACATGCCAATTTGACCCAAAGAACGACCGATCGGGCAGGGTGCGGCCTCCTCTATCACTTTCTCTTCTTTAGAATTTGAAGTTTGGGTGCCCTCCAGGCACCACATATACGTCAGTTCTCTTCGTACTTAGCTGTTAGCATTGTGTCATTTTACGACTGACCCTCCTCACTAATAAACTACCCTGACTCAATCTCACTCTCCCTCACTGGAGAACGAGAGGGAGTTAGGCTAATATACGAGGGGAGAGAGAGAGAGTTGATCTGATAGACGGAGGGAGAGAGAGAGTTGAGCCAATGGACTGAGAGAGGAGATAGAGTTGAGCTATTAGACGGAGGGAGAGAAAGAGAGAGAGTTGAGCTAATAAACGGCGAGAGAGTGAGTGAGTTGAGCCAATAGACGGAGAGATAGAGCGAGAACTGTTTCTTTACTAAAGAGAGGGTAGAGACTAGCTAGAGAGAGAGCTCGAGCTCTCAACGACTCAGCCTTTCACATATCTATTACCGTATTTATATACTACATCTACAGGGGATTGCGGCCCTGCAGACTGCAGGAGTGCATGCTACATTGTAAAACTATATTTACATACTGTGATGAACACGATATTTACATACTAACTGGAGCAGTCCATTTATTCAGAGCACAGTTTGAGTTGTGATTATTTTCTGTTTTCAACGTCTACCAACCAAAAATAGAACGAATTCTCGCCAAAACCCCCCTGAACCGCTATTCTGCCAGCCAATGATTTTCAACTATAAAGGGGGCTTGGTAAAAAAAACGATCTTAGTACTTTATACTAGGTCTTACTTGTGTGTTCATTGGTTGTGGTTTTATTGTTGTTTCACGACGACGTCGACGAGTCAGAGAAGAGGAAAAATAGAAAAATAATTGTCATTTCACCTTTTTTTTGTTTTTTTGTATGAAAAAGCTGGCCTTCTGTAATCTGTATGATTCAGAACTTCAGAAGGCTATGCGATTTGTACGAGAATCCGACGAGTCGCCGACGAGCCGTCGGATTCCCTCTCGGCACTGGTGATATAATTTATAAAAAAATATATAAAAGTTGCACCAACGCATCATAGTCACTTTTTGCATTCGTGTATCAATAATACACAAGAAAGCACTAAAGTTGCAAAGAATCATGGTCATACTATCAATGAGCGCTGCTCAGAATCTCGCCGCGATACGTCAGATGACCTCGGGATCGAAGGAAGGTAGAAAGAGCAAAAGTATATCATTATGGAAGACAGTCAAGTTGTTTTTCATGCCAACACGGGCTGTGCGTTCGAAAAAGGTGGACTACGGGCCGAAGACTCACTCCGAAGGGTTCAGAACGAATAACAATTGCTATGTGATGGTACCAATACTGGAGGGAGACAATGGTAATTTGGGCTGGGCGCAAGTAGGAACTTGGTATGTAAAACTCGATTGTTCATGTTGACAATTCATCCATATGTTTCGTGAAGTAGGATGATTAAGCCGAGCTTATCTGTAAATTTCGATCCTATTTGTAACTAGGATGTTGAAAAACAGATGGAAATACACCTGGCAGCGGTTTCTTGTCTCTGTGTTTTCAAAATAGCGGCTGTGAGTATATAGAGTTATTGAATACTGTGCTCCTTCTTCTGCATGACATAGCTGACAACTTACTATGGGGGGCCGGTTTACTATGAATACGAACCCCGTTTACAGGCTTCTCGTACAGTTGTTCCACTTGCACTACCGAATATCAAAATAGCCTTTACTGTATTCAGAATACAATCTGAATTTAGTTGATATATGTCATATATATATATATATATATATATATATATATATATATATATATATATACTATAATATATATATATATATAT